TGCCCCGCCTCTCAGGTAAGGGGACATGGCTGCTGTGCCTGGCAGTCGGAGGGTATTGGAGTACAGTGGCCTGAGCCCCAGGCAGGTGCAGGCCAACTGGGAAAGGACTTAGATTCATTACTTCTGAGATTTGAAGGTTTTTACGTAATTATAAATCATGTTACCACAATGTTAAATAAAACATGGCCTATCCTCCTGCTTTGAGGAACGTACTTTAGTAACAACTTGTGGGGGGCCGGCAGATGGTGTAATGGTGTGTCACTGGATTCCCACATAGTTGACTGCGGTTCAAGTCCTAGACCGGGCAGCTTAAAATGTATACCAGGCTCATGTGTGTGTGTGTGTGTGCTAAAGATCCCTAGAGGAGAATGGAGGAGAAGGGATTGTTTGTGACCATCCCCCTGGGGTGTCTCTCTGTATCTCTCTGTCTCTCCAGAGAGCACTCATGCCCTATAGCAAAAATCCCTCTAAAACAAACAGTAAACCTATGAAGCAGGTTGGATTTAAAAAAAAATTTTATTGGGGGATAATGTATATTCAATATACCACTCTATTTATCCATTTTAAAGATTTTTTTGCCATAGGGCACCTGTACTTGCTGAAAGAGACACAGGCAGAGAGAGGAAAGTGAGAAATTCTCCTCTTTGGGCACACATACACATGCACCCAGTGTAATTTTCAAGCCACCGCCCAGGACTGGAAACGCAGTCGGCCGTATGGGAATCTAGCGCCTTCAGCACCACGCCAAGTGCTGGCCCCAACCATCCTATGTAAAGGGTACAGTGCAGTCTTTCGACCTTTGCGTGCCCTTGAGAAACCACCACCGTCGCTCCCCAAGTTCCCCGCGCCCCTTTGCAGGACTTCTCTCCCTCTGCCTCATCTGAGGCAGTCACCAATCCGCTTCCTGTCCCTCTAGGTTGGTATCTTAGCGATGGACTGTTACAGTCAGACGTGATTCCAGGCCGGACCAGGGCAGTGTGCATAGAGTTGTCCCTGGCTCTGTCACCGCAAGGGGCCTTGCAAACACACTCAGGGCTGTGCTGACCCGCATGCCCGTGCTGTCCACCCCCTCCAAACAGCAGCCTCTCCTTGTCCACCCTGGAGAATGTGGATCTGGGAAGGAGGCCTGTGCAGGCTTGGGCAGGGCTCAGGGTTGGCTATGTAGGAAACTCTGGGGCCTGGGTCCCCAGGGTGGAGACTGGAAGTGGGGTGTTGGTAGTCTCCAAGTGGGCATGTCCCATCTTTTTCTTTTTTTTAAATTTATTTTATACATTCAATGGCTGTACATCACCACCGCTTGTAAAATGAATTTTCTCAGCATGAATACACTGCACGCCAGTTCAGTGAAAGGTGTTATCATATGCATTATCAACAGACAGTGCGCCGTTTCTGTGTCCCTTAAAGGTCTTGCCTCTCTATTTTTCTCTGGGCATGTCTCTTCTTGCGCTGTGGGGCAGGGTGTGGCTGGAGAAAGTGGAAGGCAGGATCCTCTAAAGCCTGGGGATCAGGCAGGGGCCCCTTTAGCCGGCCTCCCTGCGTCTCCCCTCCAGGGACTTACAGCCTGGTGCAGGAGATGAATAGCGGTTTCAACAGCAAAAACTTGTTCTGGACCAGGAACTGGGCTGAGCGCTTTTCTTTTCTTTCTTTTTCTTTTTTTAACTTAAAAAAAATTATTCATTTAACTTTTAAAATGTATTTACTATCATTACTCAATTTGACCAAAGAGAGACAGAGAGAGAGAGAGAGAGCGAGTGAGAAAGCAAGCTGCCAGGTCCAGTACTTGAACTGTCAGTCATGTGGGAGTCCAGCACCTTAACCACTGTACCACCTGTCAGCTCCTGGGCTAAGCTTTTTACTTTCATGGCCATTATATCTTGGGGGGGGAGAGATTTTTGCTATGGGCTGTGAGTGCTCACCAGAGAAACAGAAAGTGAGAAATAGGGAACCAGCAGTTAGCGTAATGGCTATGTCGCTGGACTCCCACGTAGTCGACCATGGTTCAAGTCCCGGACCCGGTGGCTTAAAACTCACGACGGGCGCGTGTGCGTGCGTGCCCAAGATCCCGAGAGGAGAATGGAGGAGAAGGGATTGTGGCGTGACCATCCCTCCCGGGGGGTGATTTCTCACTTTCTGTCTCTATGTCTCTCTCTGTCTGTCTGGCAAGCGCACGCACCCTATAGCGATAAAACTTTTCCCCAAAAAAGGCAAAAAAAAACCCCAGAAAGTGAGAAATCAACCCCCAGGGTGGATGGCCATACCACAATCCCTTCTCCATTTCCCTCTTGGGATTTTGGGCACACACACACACACACACACACACACACACACGCGCCTGGCATGAATTTTAAAAAATAATTATTTATTTAATTTTATTTATCCATTCATTTATTTTAATTTGACCAGAGAGAGAAAGAGAGAGAGAGAGAGAGGGAAAGTGAGAAAGCAAGCCACCAGGTCCGGTATCTGAACCTCAGTCAGCCATGTGGGAGTGTCCAGCGCCTTAGCCACCATGCCACCTGCCGGTTCCCTTGCCTGGCATGAATTTTAAGCCACTGGGTCTGGGACTTGAACTGCAGTCGACTCCATGGAGTCCAGCGATGTAACCATTACGCCGTCCGCTGGTCCTGGTGTGGTCAGGAATCTTCACAAAGTCTCTGACCAGGAAGCACTGCCAACCTGACTTTGCAGATCACCTGGCTGAGGTCGGAGAAGTCTTGAGACCTGCCCAAGGTCCCCTCGCACTTGGGGACCCCGTTAGAACCCACATCTGCCTGTGAGCCTCTGGGCTGAATTCCCAGCCAGCAGGGCTGCGGGTGCAGGAGCAGGCTGACTGCTGTGGGCTGGGGGGGACCCTGGGTGAGAGTCGGGCTTGGCCTCAGTGACCCACCTGGTCCTGCAGGGGCTCACCTGGACCGCCTGGTGCCCCTGGTGGAGGGCTTCTGTGGCCTGGATGACGATGAGCTCCGGGAGTCCTGCCTCCAGGCCTTCGAGGCTTTCTTGAGGAAGTAGGTACAGCAGGGGTCCTGGAGGTCAGGGTCCCAGGGAGTTCTTTGGGGAGCTGGTGGGATGGGGGTGGGGAGCTGGCCTTGGAGCAGTAAGAGCTCAGGACTGACTCTTGGCCCCCTCAACCCCTGATCCCCATCCTGCCTGAGTTCAACGCCCCTCCCCCATCCTGCCACAGGTGTCCCAAGGAGATGGGGCCTCACGTCCCCAGTGTGACCAGCCTCTGCCTCCAGTACCTGAAACACGACCCCAACTATAACTACGACAGCGACGAGGACGAGGAGCAGATGGAGACAGAGGAAAGGGAATTCAGTGAGCAAGGTGGGTGGACAGGCTGGCGTCGGGCTGGGGGTGGTGGGCACAGCCTTCCTGGAGTCCCCCAGCCAGAGGTAGGGGCCGTGTGTGGTGCCCTGTCCTGCTGCTGGGTCCTGCTCGGGCCCCAGGCCCACCTCTCTGATGGCATAGAGCAGAGTCATGACAGCAGACATCGTGGCCGCTTATGGAGACTCTCAGTGTCCTGAGCGCCCACGCCACGTTCCTCACCATGTCTGCTCTAGAGAAATAGGTAATGTTGTCCCCGCACTTCCAACAAGGGCACCGGGACCGACAGGAGGTCGGTCTGAGACAACACCGCCAGGAAGCGGGGTAACCCTCTTATAAATGGTTTTCAAGAACTGTTGTTTCCTGGGACCAGCAGTTACTATAATGGCTATGTCACTGGACTCCCATGTAGTCGACTGAGGTTCGAGTCCCGGATCCGGTGGCTTAAACTCATGCCGGGCGCATGTGTGAGCGTGCCCAAGATCCCGAGAGGAGAATGGAGGAGAAGGGATTATGGCGTGGCCATCCCTCCTGGGGGGCGATTTCTCACTGTCTCTGTCTCTCTCTGTCTGGCGAGCGCATGTGCTCTATAGCAAAAACCTCTCCAAAAAAAGAAAAATAAAAGATATTAAAAAGGCAGGCAGTCTTCACGATAGGGTGCAAATCCTGCCATGGGAAGGTGAACCCCAGGCCCCACTCTCCCCGCCCTGCTCTGCTCCCCGGATCTGCCCCAGTCCTGGGAGACGGGAGCCCCACGGTGTCCTCCTCCTGCCCAGAGAGCGAGGACGACTACAGTGACGACGACGACATGAGCTGGAAGGTGCGGCGGGCGGCGGCCAAGTGCCTGGCAGCGCTGATCGGCTCCAGGCCCGACCTGCTGCGCGATTTCCACCGGACCCTGGCGCCCGCGCTGCTCCAGCGCTTCAAGGAACGCGAGGAGAACGTCAAGGCCGACGTGTTCGGGGCTTACGTAGAGCTGCTCCGGCAGACGCGGCCGCAGAAGGGGTGGCTGGAGCCGGAGGAGGAGCCCACGCAGACCGGCAGCAGCTTGGGCTCCCTGCGAGCACAGGTGGGCCGCGCCCCCCGCCCAGCCCCGCTCAGGTTCGCGGTCCCACCTGCTCACAGCCCCTGGCATCCGCGGTCCTGGGGCAGCTGCACGGCTCCACACGC